GGGGGGAAGAAGCAGGGGATGATGAGGGAGGTGCCGTGGAGACTACCGTTGAGGAGGTGGCGGGACATGATGCCATGGGACCTGAGGAGGGAGGTGGAGGGGTAGATATCTGAGAGGCAGAGATGGATGCAGAGGAGGGGTGGGGATGGGATGAGGAGATGCAGCCAGTGGAAGATACAAGTGTGTAGATGACGCCAGCCGAAGAAGGGAAGGAAGCTGGCATAGATGCAGATGAGGGGGGTGGGGGGGGGGATGAACTGGTAGGGGGCTCCAACTGTGACACGCGGGCCGATAGGAATGAAAAGTCGGTATGGAGGGCCGTGATTTTGGCCTCGAGTCTGGCCAGGAGGTCCACTATGGGATCCGACTGGGAAGCTGGACCCGAACGGGTTGCCATAGGGATGGCCATTGGGTCCGATGTAGGCTCGTGAGCTAGGAACACAAGTCCTTCGCTGGTGGAGAGGGAGGGGCTCGCCAATTCGGTAGTGTGCATGTGGTCAAGGGATGGAGAAGGTGAGGAGGGAAAACAGGGGGGGGGGGGGCACTTAGTGACAGCAATCGGTGCGTCAAAGCGAGCGAGTCGATTTGCGGCACGAGCGTCTCGGGCGCGATTTTGTAGTACACGCTAATGGGTGTCACGGGGAGCCAGGTTGGTATGCAGAAAGAGGAGTAAGGGACTGCGAGAGGAAGGTGAGTATAAACGAGGTCGGACAAACGTCCAAAATTAAATCAAAGAAATTCAAAATCGGATTGAAGGAAACAGAGGAGAATTTTCAATTCGGGGAAGATAATGAGAGGAAATTTTCAAAGAATAGTCTGGGGTCTAGACGGGAGCATGCGTAAGACGATCACAAATTCAAAATAAAATTCTGAAAATATTTAAACGTAATTTTGGAATTTAAAAGAAATTGAAGTAAAATTCAAGGAATTTCAAAAAAAACATTCGTGAAATTTTTGAAAGTTCGAGGAGGTGATGAAAGATGAGTTGATAGAAAAATTTTGAAATAAAATGGAAAATTTCTCAACGTATTTTCAGAATTAAAAGAATTTCAAAGACAATTTGGAATAAAGGTAGAAAACTAATTCCTAAATTAAAAATTTACGATGAAATTTCAGAGAGAATTAGTGGTAGCTGCATATAGTAAGTTGAGAGGAATTCCAGGATTGCGTAGATCAAATGAATAAAATTTCTTTACTTGTTTCAAGATTAAAATGAATTTCGAAGAAATTTCAAAGGAAAAACGACGGAGGAATTCCGGAGTTTTACAGGAGATAGAAAAAAGAAGGAAAGTTCGACAGTGGAAGAATTCTTTGTTGTAAATTTCAAAATTTATTTCACGAATTTCTGGAATGAAATTGAATTTTTGAAATTAAATAACGAAAAGAATCAAGAGACTATAGAAATTTGCATAACTTTTGAACAAGACTGCCGAATTTAATTCTGATTCCGGCGTTGGGAGGAACGAAGGTGGAGATTAATCCTATCGAGTCGGATTGAAATTCTGAACGGCCGAATGGACGGCATTGTCAGGCAAGCACAAAGAGGGAAGATACGTGATACACGTATTAGGAATTTTGGATGATGCAACCAATTAGGTGGGTGAGTGGAGGAGAGAAGGGGTGTTGGAGGAGAGATAAAAGATGGGGAAAAAGATGAGATTTTTGAGAGAGGCCGGCGAGAGGAAGGGAGGGATTAGTAGGAGGGAGATAGATTGACAATACCGCGCTCCCGGTCGGCCGGGAGCAATCAAGGTCCTTCCTCCTAGTCGAGGAAGGTCTTCAACAACCCCTACAGGGTCTTCTCGATCGTTCCCCCGGTGGAACGACGAGGTCGCCGGATCAAATGCGCGAACTGATGATGACAAGCGCACGCAACGATGGCGGCAATGACGACACTGACAAGGACGCTGATGATGATGGAGGCCACGAACCTAACACCTCCTCTTGGAGTCCTGAAACGTCCGAGGATAGATAGGCCATGCTCTCCCAGTTTGTACCGTACTTGGAAATCGAAGTCAGAAGAGATTTTGCCCTTTTGCTCCACACGAGATTTCTGATCTCGTTGGGCTCGTCGTAGGACCCCTGCGTTGTCTTGTACCGGATGTGCTGCTCCAATCACTAGTCCCGTCGTGCACGTGCGCGCCGGAGAAAAGTAGGTGGGTGGAGGGAGCGGCAGGGTGGCGATGAGGTGGCAGGGGATACGGGGTCTGGATTGGGGCGGGGATGTCGTCGGGAGCGGGGCGCAGAGACGTATAGGGGGCGATAGAGTGGGAGGGGAGGATTACGAGGTGTGGGGGGAGGGGGG